AAGAGAGAAGATAAAGAAGTAAGAGATAGAAGGTGCTCTGAAATGTAAGTGAGCTCAGTTTTTCTACGGCTGGTCGCCGAATTTGCCGACCACCGTGCACAGCGGTCGGCCGGGGGTTGGGCGGTGGCGGTCCGGTGACGGCGCGGCACTCCGGTGAGGCCCGAGAGACAGAATCCTCTCTCTCCTTCGCGCTGATCATTAGGCGCGGAATCGTTCGCCCGATTTCCCAATGGGTACGTTCTAAAGACTCAATTCTCAATTTTTAAATATATTAGAATTAATTGGTTATGATTTAATTGAGTTTAAATAGACTAAATTGAATAACAGAAATTACTTATTGGATTAACTTAAACATATATGACATTTATAGTCTTTTGTAAATAAATTAGATTGATTAGTTGCGTATTGGATAGGAACATGATTCTGTTAACTGGTTTAGGACTTTAGAATAAATGTAATTGTAAAATTAGTTTAGAAGCAGTTGTCAAATAAAATTACAGGTGATTATTATTAATTGATTAGGTATTTGCAGGAGAAAGAATAAATTAGAATTAGTTTAATTAGTTAACTAGATAACCATTAGTTTAAAACATAGCCGATTGTTGATAAGAGAAGTAAGGGAATTTTTAGGTTGGTTAAACGGATTTTTTTTAGAATCGAATTTGATAAAATTTAGATTTGGGAGGCCTAGCCATTTTCGATATTGATATAAAAATCGAATTTGAATAGGTTAAGTAGTTATAATTAGTGATGGTTAAAAAAATGTTTTTAAGCTGTTTAATTAACTTAGTTACCGTAAAGGTAATAATTTAATTCATTAATGACTTTAAATAAAATGAATCTTTATATGGATATTATTAATTAGTTTGTAAATTTTTGGTTGAGTGTTGATATTGTTGTTATGGAAGGAGGAATGGATGTTAAATTGATTGATTGCCCCGACGGATGGGCTGCTGTGCATTGATTGATAAAAGATATAATGATATTGTGAATATGGTGAGCAGGCTAGATAGTTCATATTTTTAGGGGAGGTGCTGCCGAAATTTTGATAAAAATTAGACTTAAATTTTTATTTAACAACATAATAATAAGTTTATTTAGATTAGTTCTATAATTTGGTATATAATAAATATAGTGCTCTGATTATTTACTATCTTTATTATTATGTTAATTATTTACATTATTTATTTATATTTATTTTCATTATTATTGTTAAATTTGTTAATTTATCTTTATTATTGTTTGTTATTTATTGTTAATACTATTTATTTTCATTTATTTGCATTGATTTTGGATGTTTAATTGTGCATTGCATTACGATGTTTAATTGATTAATAATGTCTTGCATTTGATTGCAATGTTTGATTAATTGTGTTGTGATAATGCTATGCTTTGTTTGTGTGGAATTGGGCATGAAGTGGACCACCGTGGTTGTGAGGACGGTTTGTGATCATGGATCCGAATATTATATGATATTCTTGACCGTCGGCGACGAAATGGGAGATCGGCGCCCCCCGTGCTGGCACCTGATGATATGGATTATAAGTGGGAAACCACCAGGAATGGATTCTTTGTTGTATCGCGCCCTGATAAACTACGATTTGATTGTAGCCCAGGGTGGCCTCCTGTTGTGAGCATTGATGATCTAGATTGGAATGGAGAACCACCGGTTGCTCCGTTGGTATGGAAAAGAAAAGCAGAGAATGGAAATACAATGAGAGGACTGGTCAGTGAGGATTAAACCAGTTGGCCGTATGGGGGGATCGGCTCCCTGGTAGCACATGTAGTGAGAGGGCGAGCCATGTGTGAGGACGGCTCGTGGGGTTTTCAGGTGCGCCACTGGACTAATTTCCACTTGAATATGATTTATAATAAGATGTTATGATTGTTTGAGTGCTGGTGATATGCCATTTGTGTGCTGGCTGCGTGAGCATATAACTAGTCGGATGACTAGATTAAAATGTGTACACATTTGTGTGACTGTGTGTATTGTGCAATAATTAATTACTCCTGTAGAAAAACTCAACATGTTCCTTGTTTGATTTTTCAGGAATTAGGTTTTTCCCTTTAATCCGATTTAGGCTATGTTTTTCGGCGCAGGGCAATAAACAATTTTTCCTAGATCCATAATTATTTTACTATGTATACTAACAGTTAGTGGACTCCGGCATTGTAGGATTTTGTATACTTTTAGTCGTTTTATATTATACGACGAGATAATTATGTGATCCATATTCGGTAAGAATGTGATGCATTGTTAATTAGGCCCGAACTGTGGAATGTTGTAGCCGATAAATTCGGGCCGAGATTTATAAATCTTTGAGGTTTTTATTTTTCATAATCATATGGACTAAAATGTTTAATATTAATATTGAGAATAGTAAATTTTTTTACGTGTTTCTACAGGCTTACTACGGGCCTCGGGGCTTCAAGCTTACCTGGAATTTTTAGTGTTTCAGGCTTACTACGGGCCTCGGGGGCCTTAAGCTTACCTGGGCCCTAGTGCCGGTCCGGCCCACGGAAATGGGTCGTGACATACAGCCATAAGCAAGCTATCATAAATCAATATTTTCACATACTTCCTTTATAAATATTCTGGTTGGGCGAAACCATTCCCAATATCCAAACTCTGTGAGTTGTTATAATTATACCCCAGAATGAATTTAACTGTCCAAACATCTCAATTTCAAACTTATGTCACAGTTACACCTTAATTGTAAAGCTGATCAAAATTGAGATTAAAAAATAATAAATATGAATCCCACGTGAATCAGTTAACTCAAAACGCACAGTTTAAATATTAGCGGACTAAGCTAATCATAATCTGAATAAAAAAAATACTATAGATGATTACTAACAGCACCGACGAGGCCACGACAATGGGAGGGAAATGGCTTGAGCGAATCAAGGAAAGTCAGTGAACAACGTTTTACGATGTTGTTAGCTAATTAGAACCCACATATATTATTCTTTTAATCTCAATCTTGTCAAACTTTGCAATTAGAGTGCAATTATGACATAAATTTAAAATTGAAACATCTAGAAATTAAATTTATTTTGGAATGCAATTATAACTCGTATAATTTGAGGTATTAGGAATGATTTAGTCATTCCCGTCCAACCAAACACTTACTAAATTTCTAGTTATTAACATTCAGACAAATGTACATAACCCCATTTAATTCAATAGCCAAGAAACATTAACCCTAAACAAGAATCACTAAGAATTAATTTCAACAAATCAAGTAATAGCAACCGCTTGGAAAATTTGAGCTGAAATAATATGGATTTCAAAAAATGAAAATTTCTTTGTAAAATTGGAAAAACGGGAATTAATTATTTAGTTCCTTAAATTTGACGAAATTATTGAAGTAATCCATCTGTTTTAGACAAATATTCAACGCGTCTTTGAAGTTTGCATTCATTATTCTAAGTAGTCCTTCGGTCCAATTTTGAGAGTTTTTTCTGTTTGAGTAATTCTGAAATGACAAAAACACCCTTGGTCATTTTGACTTGAGCTTCGTCCCCTTCTTCCTCTTCTCTTCTCTTCTCAGCTCCTTGAGCTTCCTTTTGCGCCATTTTATCTTTCGTAGCTCTAGTGCCCAAAAAACAATAAAATCAATTAAGAAAAAGATACCCTTTAATAACCAATCAATCAGTTTATTAATATAAAACATAAAAAACAATTATAGAACAAGGCCAAATAAATATCGGATCATGACGGACCTCACCGGGCTCGTAATCGCTGCATCACCGCTGTCTCCCACGCCACCATCACCACCGTCGCTGACTGAAGGGCGAACGACGAGGCATAGTAGCGGCTGGTGATGCGATTTCGTTTGGTCCTTGTCTCTCTCGATGCTATCTTCTCGCTGGCTAACATTTATCCTGGACAAAAAGTCCATTACTTCAAACATCTGCGGCTATGAAAGCAACAGAGTGAAAAAAAATTGGGAAGTACTTCAAAGATATTAAAAAGAATCAGAGCAAACAAAGATGGTGAACAAGAACTTTCATTGCTATCAACTGCTTGTCCTTTCCCTTCAATTATACAACAATTAAATAGTCCTTGAAAATCCAAGTTAAGAAAGATGTGAAGCTTTTGGAAAAACAGAAAAACAAAACTGTTTTTTTTTTTTTTTTAGGAATTTTTTTGATTACGATGTTTTTACGTAGAAAGAAAGGTTGTAAATAGACTAATGGCAGTTTTGTCATTTTAAAAGACTCCTCACACCTTCCTCTTAAATTTTTGCGTTTTAACGGTAAAAGTAGCAAAAAGATGGACCGAGGAACTACATAGTTTAACAGCGTGAATGAACCTCAGGAACATATTAGGTATTTGACCTAACTATAGGATTATTTACATAATTTCGTTATAACACAGTAACGAAATAATTAATTTCCCTTGGAAAAATGAAGGAATGCCATTTTCTTGGAAAATTTTTCTAGAAACTGATCATTTTTACTCCAACTGAACAACCACTTAATAATTCGCTATCAATCTTATCTACCCCTTGCTCTTCTCTTTCCCTTATTTTCCCACTGTTCTCAGCAAAGAAGCACGAATTGGAATTGCATTTCTGCAAGTCCCCAGCAACCTGATTAAAAAGTTCAAACACGTGTGCACTTAGAACATGCCCAGTACAGGTACAACAGTCACATCAACTGGAAATGACAACTTGTCTACTTTCCTGATATCTGTCAATCTGGAAAGAGAATAAAAATGAGTGTCATACTAGGAATGATAACAGTTGCACATTTATTGGCAATCAAAGGGCTCAGAGAGATTCCAAGTCTTGGATGAAGAAACAAATAAAATCCTTAATTCTCAAACCAATGCGTCCCAGTCTTCATCCTCGGTTGGTTGATTGGCACGGCAAATTTCGCGGACACCATGGATAAAATCATTTTGGCATATCCTAGTCTGGCTCTCATGAATGATACCATCATTGGAATTGGTACGGCCAAGTGCATCGGAGAAGGCAGTATTAACCACACCAGCAAGATCAGCACCACTAAAGGATAAAATCATTTTGGCATATCCTAGTCTGGCTCTCATGAATGATACCATCATTGGAATTGGTACGGCCAAGTGCATCGGAGAAGGCAGTATTAACCACACCAGCAAGATCAGCACCACTAAAGCCATCCGTCATGTTTGCTGCAAAGAAAACGGAAAATATCATGCATGTGATCTTTGTTGAGGACAAGTTTGAGGCAAATACAACTCACCTATCTCTCGAAGGTCCACATCTTGGAAGTAGCCCCTTCGCTCGTAAGGTTCTGTGTGAACCCTCAATATGTTCAAACGAGCTTCCTCATCTGGGAGGCCCACTTCAATGGGGAGAAGCCTGCCAGGTCTGTTTGACAGAAAATGTGTAACTCAATAAAATAGTAGAAAAAAGATTCTGCTGAAAAATAAAGGGAAGAAGAAGAGGTATTATACATTTCGGAGGCTTATTAACTAATTAATGAATCTCAAAGAGCATTAATCAGTGATATCAATAAATTAATAAATTAAAATCTTTCGATGAAATCCATTCTTAACCAAATCAAATGAACATCCTGCTCCAAAATATTCTATTTTACAAAGCAATGAGAAATAATGCACATAAATTCATTACACAACAATGCCTTATCTCATCTTAACCAACAACAAATTATCAGTGTTAATCCCATTGAGAACCATAAACCAAACAAAGGACTTGGTGTTAGAAGAAAGCTCACCTCACCATTCTTAGTGTTTAGTTAAAGTTAATTTACAAATGAATTTTTTATATTTGGTATATTCAACTTAAAACATGTAATTCAATCGACTTCTATGTAATCATGTTTAGAATAAATTTAAATTGAAAATTCATTTGCTTTCATTTTCTAAATTATCCTTGATATAATAATTTTACAAAAACAAATAATAAATATTAATTATATTTATTTTATACAACATAATAATTTTCATTTATGTTTTAGATAAACATACAGTACCAAAACAATGTACATCAAATTTTATTTATTTATAAATATTTTATACTAAATAATTTTTAATCAAAATTAAATTATTCAATTTAAAATATAAACATAATAAGATAAGTAATATAATAATTTATTAAAGAAATGTTTTTAACTTCTAGAACATCTAAATTGAACTCGTTCTAAACTTATATATGTTAAACAGTTATTTTAACTTTTACAGAAATTGTTTTTAATTTTTACCAACACCAACTTGCCCATATCTCTCTGCCTCTCTGGTTTCGAGCTTTCTTTTATTTTGAGCTTCTATTTTACCAGCATGGCCATTCTGTGCCTTTTGACAGTCTAATAGTTAACAATGATCTGCAAATGTAGAGAGCTATATAATTATGTTAGATCTATTTTTCACAAGCCAAATCCAAAAATATCAAAAGCAACAAGGCTGTAAATAGGATATGCGGGGGCCCAAAAAAAAAGTGTTGGAAAGGGGATTTTTTTTTGTCAAAAATTTGGGCTACTTAGTTTTATAAAATTCCTTTGGAAAATCTACCTATTTTGGTAATTTGGTTTAGTTATATTTAATTATGTAGAATGAAATTCGTAGCATTGAAATCTACATTTTTTTTTTCATTTCAAACAAAAATTTGGATTTACAAATAAATTCTACAAAATTTTGTGGAATCCATTTGTTCCAAACAAGGGGTTAGTAAATGGAAAATAATTAAAAGTGGGCATGGGACCACAAAGATTAACAAAATTAGAAAGAATAGGTCCTTTGGACTACTTAAATTCCTAATTCTTTCATTTAACATGCATAAATCGACAAGAATTAAGGGTATTAAGCAAGAGAAAAGCAAAATTATTAAGATATCACCAAAGAGATTGAATTTTGAGGGAGGGAGATTAAATTCACAACTTATACATCCTATGTATAAATGTTGGTAAATGATCCAGCATACAATTGTAATGATGATAAGGACACGGACTTTAAAAGGGGAAAAAAAACAGAATAAGAAGAAAAATGGGGATTAAGAAATGTCAAAAGAAAAATGAGAATTAAGAAATGTCATTTTTTCAATTGGGAGCAAGCTTAGAAGTCAGAAAATTGGTGTCTATTAATATTGACCTAGTAGGAAAACCATTATGGTCCTTTCCACTAGAAACTCATTCTCCTTTGTATGAAGTTAAACTATCTTTCAACAAAAAGGATTGAAGATAGGCCCATGGAAATTCACCCTTTCTTTCCTTTTCCATAACATATATGAGGAGGTTCATAGTTCCCATATTTGTTTTTCAAGTAACATTGTGCCGTGACAACAAAAGCACAATAAACCATTTAAAAGTGATGAAGTAAATTAACACAAGAAATTTACAAGCTTCACCCTTTCCCTCGAGTTGCATCCACAAATTACTAATTTCCACTTCACCTATTCACCATCCCCCAGTCGCATTACACGTTAGAGCCAAATATATACAATCATGTTACGCATTAGGCAAGTTTTTTCTCTGTATCACCTAAGACAAACTTAATATCTCCATAAAAGCATCTGTTATATCTCAACCTCTAAAAAATCCCCAGAATGAGCAAAGACCACAATGACATCATATAACCAGCCACAGTTATTTAGAGAAGTGTAATAATTTAAATGGATCCTAGAAATCCTACTCTTAGCCAATTAGACATTTACAGAAATGCCCATACAATCAAGCAGACAAGAAGTATAATCCACAAACTGCAAATGAGAAGCAAGAATCACAAAACTTACATACTGGTTAATTAGGATTTGACTCAAAATCCCATACGAGGGATGGGAAAAGTTATCAAACGCAACCTTTGTGGTAGATTTATGATGTTAAAGTAATTAGTAGTTTAATTATGTCTGTAGGAGAATGAGAAGGACAAACTATTCTATTTACCATAAAGATGTATATTGTGTTACTGTCTGTCGTCAGCAACTTGGTGTGACTGTGTTAATGAGTGTGTGAGCATGAGCTTTGAGCTTATGGATCTAATTGTTGCTATTATAATAATGCATGATGGCATATCTGTGGATGTAGTCCTATAACAAGGGTTAGTGTTAATGTCTAACAAGTGCTATCAAAAGTTGGAATGGCTTTCGTGTGAAGAAAGTAATGTGTGCACATTTTGGTGATGAAGACCCATTGATTTGTGGTATGTTTGAATTAAGGTGATGCTCTTGATCCAAGATCAAGCAACTTGTTAGCATGAAGAATATTTAGAATTTGAAGAAAGAAGCAAAATACATCCAAGGTAGTTGAAGCTGAAGGTTGATGAATTTAAAGGTTAAAGCTCAATCACCGATATTCAATTATAATAAAAGACATGCAATATTATATTGTTCCCACAGTTAAGGAATTTGGAGTTAAGGTGGAGATTTTTAGGATTTGACTCATGATCTATACAAGGCTTGGAAAAGACTTTTCCAATTTTTATAGGAGAAATAATCCTTGAAGATATCCCCACGCAAAGTAAGATTATTTCCTATGTGGACAAGAACTCCTATTTGACTTGGATTTATAAGAAAATCAGTACAATAATTCAACCCGAAAACAATATAGTTCAATTATTTGAACTTTCAAAATCCTATATCAAATAAAATGAAACTGACTGCTGCAAAAGTAAACTTATTAGAGGCCATATCTTAAGAAATAGGAAAAAGAAAATTTCAATTATAAAGCTGCTGTATTCGCTCTTAACTGAATATCCATTCAACTTCAAGAAAAATAACACCATTATACCTTTTATAATTTCCTAGAAAATTATACGATTTCTCATCTGCATTATATATCAATATGACTTCAACAAAATTATATGGCCCTCAACTGATCCAATTACCAAAATTTATTATCTCTCTACTTTAATTAATCAACTTAACAGCTATTCTCATTTAAATTAGTTAACACTATTGAATTACAGAAATAATATCCATCTACCAGTAAAAGATCAATTAACAAATAATTTCCTTTAACTTAGTTGAAACCGTGCAGCCATTTGCTAAAACCAGCCTGCTCACTATTTCCCACAATTTCAAAACAATATGGGGAAAAGAAATATATCTTTTATTTAAAATGTGATAACTTGATGACTGAAATAATATTATGAAAGAGAACGTGTACCTCAAGAGTGCTTCATCAATTAATTCCTTCTTATTTGTTGTTCCAATAATAAGTATGTTATTCAGGTCCTCCACACCATTAATCTAGAAACAGAAAATTTATTAGTGTTTAAGATTTCAAAATTGAACAATGTTGGAGTAAATAATAAAATAAATAAATTACCATAGTTAGCAATTGGCTAACAATCCTGTCAGTCGCAGTCTCTCCAGGAGTTATCCCCCTTTTCTGAATAGAGAAGCATAATTAGAACAAAATTTCCATAAATCCATACTTCCTGAACAAAATTTCCATAAATCTACATGTGCTAATTGCAAGAAAAATATTTAGTATTTTACCCTTGCAATTGAAATTTCAAAATTGAAAATGTTGGAGTAATAATAAAATAAAGTAAATTACCATAGTTAGTCAAATTGGCTAACAATGCCTGGTCAGCTCCGCAGTCTCTCCAGGAGTTATCCCCCGCTTTTCTGAATAGAGAAGCATAATTAAGAACAAAATTTCCATAAATTCCCAATACTTCCCTGAACAAATTTTCCATAAATCGTAACATGTGCTAATTGGCAAGAAAAAAATATTTATTATTTTCCCTTGCAATTGAATTCTAATTCAGCAATTGGCTAACAATCCTGTCAGTCGCAGTCTCTCCAGGAGTTATCCCCCTTTTCTGAATAGAGAAGCATAATTAGAACAAAATTTCCATAAATCCATACTTCCTGAACAAAATTTCCATAAATCTACATGTGCTAATTGCAAGAAAAATATTTAGTATTTTACCCTTGCAATTGAATCTAATTCATCAAAGATGATGATATGAAGGCCACTTTGCTCTCCTGAAATGTTTAAACCAAAATAAACTTATATGACTTGTCAATTAGGTAAGCTGAATGCACAAAATGCAGAAAACTTATTGTATTATGCGCGCACACACAAAAAAACAAAATTAGGTAAGCTGAATGCACAAAATGCAGAAAACTTATTGTATAACACACACACATGTATTATATGAACACACCATATCTTGTATTATCTTCTCTAGCTTTATCAAACAGTGCTCTAAGTCTGGCCTCTGTTCCACCAAACCAGCTTGACAGAACTTGAGGCCCATCAACAACCTACATTGAGTGTGGAGCAATTATAAGTTGCAAATCCAATCAACTATAAGAATAAAATATAAAAAGATAAAAATTGAAATCATGATTGCAGCTTCCAAAGAAAATCAACATAGCATGAATTTTTGGTTGTATAATGACATTGCAAAAATTATGGGAGAAACATAGTGGCAGCTGAAACATATACTGCAGCATATGCACAATAACAACACATGATGAATTGTTTATTTGTTCTCATTCATGATATAGCCAACCAGAAATTGTTAAGAGAACCTGTAGCTTAATTTTGCGCACTAGGCCATAAAGGCATTTTTCATGAGTGTGTTTATGTGTGTGTTGATGGGAGAGAAAAATAGACCTCAAATTCCTTGGCATACAGAATTTTTGCTATTGTTTTTGCTAACAACGTTTTTCCATTCCCAGGTGGCCCAAAGAGGAGTATCCCCTTAACGTGACTTTGGTTCAATCTGAAACATAAGAAACAGTTAAAAATATAACTGTTACACAGTTTTTTGATATTAAATAAATCTCAGCAGATGGTAATTTAGAGGGAGTTAAAAATCAATATACAGATAAGAAAAACTATAAGCTTCATAATAGAAGTACTCGGCCATTACACCAAGACTCCTAACAACAAGAGGAAACTAATATAACCATTGTTAAACCCTTGCTTGTGCATTTCCATTTTCATTTACTATGTTAAATTCTTCTTGTTTAACCTTTTTCTTTTTTTTTTTTTTTTCATTTGGAAGTACTCAGATCAACAATTTCTAAATGGATAAGATTGAGCAATTTGCTTTATATGGAAACAAGACGATCTATGAAAAATAAAATAAATACTTAAAATAAGCAGGGAGTAAAAATAAATGAAAAAGATACAAGGCCAAGATTGTAACTATGCATGATACAAACAGAATAGCATAATTAAGAATATTACTTTTGACATAGCTCCAGATCGAGTGTACGGGTAGTCAGCACCCTCTCATATATTTTTCTAAAGATTTTACTCATCCCACCGAGTCCAAGAGTCATCAATTCTCTCTCTACTTCACTTAAATTCATACTTCTTAGAAATATTCTCCTTGTCAATACAGCTTGGTTAAAAAACTGCAGAAAATATCAATTTTGTCACACGTGGAAGATAAGGCAAGAGAATTACTTAATAGTTACAAAAGAATTAAAAATGGAAAGGAAAGAGAAAGGAAGAGATGGAAAAGCATTTATTACCCTGATATTTTCACTCAAAAAGAGCACCTTAGTCATTTTATGAAGCATCCCTTGACTAGTCCTGGCACCATTGCTAGCCAAGATGATACGATTGACTTTGAAAGTACCAGAGAATTTACCATATCTAAATTGTACAGTTTGATCTTCATGCATCATCTGAATATGAGAATTATTATGAGTATCAGTTGAAGAACAAAATCTAGAGACTGAGAATTCTGTTGCTAGGAAAATAAGATAAGGGCTTAAATGGCCCCAAACCACCAAGTGTGATCTCATTGAATGTCCATTCATCACCAAGCATGAATTTTGGAATTAAAACTTAATAGAAAGCAATCATTGCCATCACATCAAATCAATCCCAAATATCAAACCAACTACAAAAAAAAAAATATTATAAAATTAGCTGCAAGAATACATGAACAAAAAACTACTATAAGCTTATTTGCTATGATAAAGTCAGCATATATCTATCAATAACATGCTACAGGGAAACCAAACTTATTTGCTAATAGATAGATACATGATACCGTAAAACAATATTTATTTGCTAATAATAGAAATACAGCTCGAAAATAAAACATCAGATTCTTCATAATAAATTGCAAGAATTCCAACAAAAAAATTATTGGTAAAAGCTAAGAGCATTATTTTCGTGCTATCATATTTTGAATCAAAAAGGAAATAAAATGAAATATAAGCTCCATTCAAGTTTTACTACTCCTGCCTGAATCCAATTAGGTCTTGATAATTGACCATAAATTACAGTAAGTTGATACGACTCGTAGATGTGCAGTCCATCTCTTTATGCTTCTTTGTCACTAATGACAGAGCAGGAAAAATCCAATGGAAGAAAATTATTTGAATGGACATCATTAGAACAGAACAACTCATGAGATTTCAAGGTTGAACAGAATCTCAATCACCTAAACATATTAAGGTAAAGGAAAAAGGAATGAACAGTAAAGGAGATTTCACATTTGAAATAATACTTAAGACAAAGTACAATATGGTAAAAGCATTAAGACCTCACACTGTAATTTTTTAAGTCATAATCCTTGTCATGCTTTCACATTTCTCATTAATCTTTCAGCCAACGCTCATTTCTCTCATTTTCTCCCTTATTTTTCTCCCACGCTCCTTTTCTACCTCACTAATTTCATATAATAAACAGATTAACTACCAATGAGTGCAACACACAGGAAAGAGTAAGGGCAGAAAGCCAGAAACCTGTCCACAAAAACTTTTTTTCAGCTCTTTCACCAAGTGCTTAGCATTAACCTACCAAAATAGAAATATACAACAAATATTCAATTAGCTTCGAATTTAATACTAATATGACATATTTCCAAATAAGAAACATAATATTCAATTAGCTTTGGTATTTAATACTAATATAATATGTTACCAAATGAGAAACATGACTAAGCCATACCATTTTACCCTCAGGATAATTAAGAATGTCCAGATCTACATCGAGCTCTTCTATCTTTTCCGCGTTGCCATTAACCTCAAACCTTACCAATGATGAAAATGAAACAAATATCACCAACAAAAACTTCATGAAAATGAAATTTAGAATCAGAACTTACCTTTCAACTGTCAGCTCATTTCCTATCTCAGTTTTGGCAAAAGCACACTGCTCCTCATTGAGGGCAATTTGATTCTCCATCAAAGAACTAAACTTACCTTTCAACTGTCAGCTCATTTCCTATCTCAGTTTTGGCAAAAGCACACTGCTCCTCATTGAGGGCAATTTGATTCTCCATCAAAGAACTATCTTCAGTATATCGTAATCAAGGCACAAACAAAGAATTTCCCAAAACAAGTTTCAAATAAAAATATAAAATCTAAACGAGCAAAAACTAAACTTGAAAAGGATATCATAGGCTCAGAACCAAAAGGCCATTGATTCTTCCATAGAATTTGGGACTGCCAAAACTAAAGCAAGAAGGGCTTGGATTTTTTTCAGATTGGAACAAATTCAAATAGTTGCGAGACATGTAAGCTTTGTTGGTGAATCGTTTGCTAGATTGAACTGGAGTGACCAACATCTTAGACTCCATGGAAAGACGTCTTTCTTGGCTGGAACGAAGTCTTTCGTATGACAATACTAATACTAGTATCTAGTAGAATAAAAATATGCACTTGACAGTACAATAAATAAGACTGAGTAGGGAAAACCCAACCACAGGGAATGCAGAAACTTAAACTTCCCCTGACAAGGGCTCTGGCTTTTCAGGCAACTCGAGCTGATGATAGAACGGAATTCTCTAACGGCAGCACTCCAAAGGAGGAAAGGGCTCAAAGGTGATCTTCGACGGATACTATGTTAAGAGAGAAGGAGAAAGAGAGACAAAAAATAGAGTGAGATATTAGAACAAAGGAAAAAATGATACGCAAAGCCATTTGTAAGATTGGTTTGGCATATATATATATATATATATATATAAAGCCATTTGTAATGATGGTTGGCAATATAGTATATAGTATAATATATATAGTACTATATTATATACACACACACACACCATATAAGGGCAGGTAAGGTCCCCCCCAAATTGGACATATATATATATACACACACACACACATATAGGGCAGGTAAGTGTCCCCCCAAATTGGACATAGATTTCTATTCAAAAAGAGAAGTGAAAAAGAATAGATTCTGATATTATTAACATGTAAAAATATATTCAAAACAGTGTTTTGATTTTGTCCTGAAAATTGATTTTGTGTATCAGTAAGACAGCATGTGTCATTTGGTTGAAGTGGAATTTATCGTTCAACCTACAATTATAAGAATATAATTGAATAAATTTATGGCAATTATTATAAAGCACTTTTTAGATTTAAGAGTGTAAATATTTATACTCCACCACTTCATATATGCATTCATTTACTAACTTGTGGATTAAATGAATATGAAATTCTAAAGACAGCACATAGGAAAACTATTAAAACTATTTTAAAAAGGGACATATATGAATTTTATTTATTTTCTGTCAAACAATTCGTACTACAAGCATAAGAAAGTTTTACTAAAGGAAACCGTAATAATATTTAACAACTTAATCTTTATTGTAATTGTTCTTTCATATTAAGAACAAGTAATAATGATAATACAATGATAGGTTTTAACTTTTAAGGTTGAAACTAGGCCAAAACATCTGAAACACTCTAAACTTAACGATAATTACAAAAAAAAAGTTTCTATCTAACTGGACAACGATATGTAACAGAAAAATCAAAAAGATAATAAGCATTTATTAAACACAACAAACTCTAAATAAATAAAATGATAAAAAGAGGCCTTTTTGTGATGAACATGGAATAGCGGCTAAACCCAGTCTAGACGATTGATGGTTTTCTATTTTATCATACCTGAAAGAGGGCGTTTAGTCTGACTTAAGTCGGGCTGGACTTGGTCCCCAACTCAGATATCTCTCCTCTCTCTGTTTCGCTTCTCTTCCGTATTTGTACTTTTAGCAGTTTTAGACTCTCGGACTATTCCCTGTGCTCTGTGCTCTGTGCTCTGTGCTCTATGCTCTATCCTTTGCAGCTCAGATCCTAATCTGCCGATTGATAAATTGAATACTCAAACGAGAATTTGTTTCGTTTAAAATGACTAGATAGTGGGTTTTGAAGGTTCCGATAAAACTGGGACGAAGGAGGCGAGAGAACCGATGGAGGAGACGGTGGCGGCAACAAAGGTGGTAGGAGATAGTTTTGTGAGGAAGGAGCAGAAGAAGATGAAAATGGATGAAACTGGGTCTGAGATGAAGCCAACCGAGATAGAAGGTTTAGCGCAGAGAGGTTGCAGTCATAGTTTTCTTATCTTACCAAGGAAGAAGAGGGCAATTTAACAAACAACTAAAGACAACGGTAAAAGAATTAGATCCTAATCTGCCGATTGATAAATTGAATACCCAACCGAGACTTAGTTTCGTTTAAAATGACTAGATAGTGGGCTTTGAAGGTTCCGATTAAACTGGGAAGAAGAGGGAGAGAGAACCGATGGAGGAGACGGTGGCGGCAACAAAGGTGTTAGGAGATAGTTCTGTGAGGAAGGAGCAGAAGAAGATGAAAATTTATGAGACTGGGTATGAGATGAAGCCAACCGAGATAGAAGCTTTAGCGCAGAGAGGATGCAGTCATAGTTCTCTTACCAAGGAAGAAGAGGGCAATTTAGCAAACAACTAAAGACAACGGTAAAAGAATTAGGCTGCACAGTTCCGCGATTTAAAAAATGAAAAATAGAAAAGAAAACCACTTGTTAACGATAAAAAAAATTACCATATTTCAATTTAAAAACTCCAAAAACATTATTTATAACTTTCACAATTAAAAAAATAAAATATCACAAAATAAATTTACGTATTTTTTATTTTAAACTTTAAATATTTATTATTAATTTATTTATAATAATAATAATATCAATTTTTATCATTTTGCAAATTTTTTAAAAATAATCATATAAATATATATTTTTTTATGTAATAATAAAATTAATTATATCAATTTTTATCAATTTGTGAGCAATTTTGAAAAATAATCATTATAAATATATTATTTTTTATTGTAAATAATAATAATATCAATTTTTATCATTTTGCAAATTTTTTAAAAATAATCATATAAATATATATTTTTTTATGTAATAATAAAATTAATTATATATTAAAGCATATAAAAAATTTTAAAAATAGAACATTTAATTAAGTTATCTGGATATTCGGATAACTTTTAGAAGCAATGAAAGATTTGAAAACTTCATCCTTAATCGCGCTTATAAAGGATAAAAAACAATTGTCTCGCTAGCCTGCGAGTTGGAGAGTCTCGTCTGAGTGTCGAGTGTTTGCTTTTATTTTATCATGGCTTCAAGTACATCTCAATCCTCTGACATTAATCAGAGGCTGATTTGTCTTTCAATTAAGGAGGAGGAAGAGGGAGGTTTGGAATTGGATGAGAGTAGAGTAGAAGAGGACCAATCGAAACCTGACTACACATTGGTAGGAAGGTTTCTATATGACAAAAACATCAACTTTCTCGCTATGAAACAAACGCTGGCTTCCCTTTGGAAACCAAATCATGGCGTTAACATCAGGGAGGTTTCTAAGAATTTGTTTCTTTTCCAGTTTCTAAACGCTGTTGATATGAACACAGTTGTGGAGATGGGCCCCTAGACATTTGACTAGCGCCTTCTCTTGTTTGAAACGTTGGGATTGGATTAACAATCGCAGAATGTATAGTCGTTCCATACTCATATTTGGCTATAGGGTCATGACATTCCTAATGGATTTATAACAACAAAAAAGGCTCAATCCATAGGCAACTATGTTGAGGAATTTGTAAGTGCTGATGAGACGAATTTCTTAGGCTTGTGGCAAGGATTCATGCAGATTCGTGTTTTGATTGATACCTGAATCCCTCTTCAACAGAAGATGTGTATCAAAAAAACTCAAAGGAACATATGGCTACGACTGACCTTCAAATACGAGCGGCTCCGCAATTTTTGTTTTACCTATGGTATCATCGTTCATTTAAAGCGATTTTGCAACCAATGGGCTGAGCAACTGGACCTTCTTCTGAATAATAGTTTGAGCCTGAATTGCGTGCTAACTTTTGCTAGAATCAATTGTCGACCGATGATCAATGGCTGTTGAAGGATTTTATGTTGGCTGATGTGCGAGAGAGCAGTTGTTCGAAAGGGGACAGGGGAGTTGAACGTGGGTAGTAGTTACATTTTTCACCAACCACTTCCTCGGCAAAAGTAGGGAGACGTGGGAAGGAGATAGCAGTTGGCAAAAAGAAAGCAGTTAAGTCTTATGACCAGAAGTTTCATTCAGGTTATGGCAACCTTCTTGGACCCATCCTACTAATGGGCGACACACTTTGAGAATGGGCTTCTAGTCTCGAATTGGAAATGCAGGAGATGTGAGGAGGGATAAGCTCAATCAGCAATTGGGGATCATATGTGTACTGCAAACGTGACTGACTTGTCTGTTGTTCTAGTTCCGGTGGGTCTTAAGATCCAACCCCAGCGTGCATTGTGATTATCCTATGCTAGAATTGTCATGGGCTGGGCAACCCACACACAGTTCGGGTCCTTAAGGATATGGTGTGTACATACAAGCCTGCTTTTATTTTTTTTATTGAAACTAAAGCTAGTAAAACTAAAGTTAAAGTTGTTAGTTAGGCCCTCAGCTTTGAGGGATGTTTTGTTGTTGATTGTAAAGGCTTGAGCGGTGGTTTGGCTCTTTTATAGAATAAAAACACTACACAACCCATAAGTTACTCCCATTACCATATAGATGTTTCTATCCAACTATTTGACTAAATTGAATGACGGCTCATAGGATTCTTTGGGCAACCTAGTAGAAGTCGAAGAAAATAGTCCTGAGACTTATTGAAGAGGCTAAAATAAAAATCAGTTTTGCCTTAGTGTTGTATGGGGGACTTCAACGATTTTTTAAGCAACTTGGAGAAGAGAGATACTCATCCCCACCTGCAATGGTTGTTAGACAAATTTTGGGATGTTATTCAATCTAGTGGTTTGCATGATATGGGTATGACTCGATGTGATTTCACCTGGGAGAAGGGAAAAGGGACAACAAACTAGGTTGAGGAAAGGCTTGACTGCATGTTAGCCTCTTCTTCTTGGCTGAATTAATTTCCAAAGGTTTAATTATAAATTTGGTATCTGAACTTTTTAAAATTTTCTATATTGGTGTTTCAACTGAAAAACGTTCGCAATCAAGTGTCTGAACCATCAAAAATTGATTAATCAAGTGTCTCCTACCCACGTGGACAGCCGGATTTCCAAATAGGATGATTTGGGCCCACTCATCCAATTAAAAAAAAAAAAGCTAACATGACGCCAACTTAGTTGTATGGCTGACAAGGAATAGAAGCATATGAGAATCACGTGACTTCTTTAAATTACAAACCAATGTATTCTTCATCCTTCTTCCTTAATCTCTCTCATCCCCTCTTTCTTCCTCAATCTCTCTCGCCCCTCAAATCCCACAGGTGACCATTACATGGACGATGCGGTTACTCAACAATCTATGGCAATTTGAAAGGAAACACTATTAAGCAAACTATAGTGGATTGTGTTGATAAGACTCACAATCTTCGATTTCCTATTATGATTTTGCTTCTGAGATGGGATTAGAAGAGAGCACAACCCTGTCACCCATTTCTTAGGCAAGATTTTAAGTTTCTGAAAATATTTTGTTGTATCTTTTATTTTTATGGTGGATTAAGAGCTGTTGTTTGTAACAAACTCTCTTCTTGTTACTCTTTTATTCACTTTTTGCATTCTTCAATATGGTATTTTGTTGACTTTTTATTTTCATGGTGGATTATAAGTTGTTGTTTGAAATAAACTCTCTTCTTATTGCTTTTTAATTTATTCACTCTTTGCATTCTTCAATATGGGTGATCATTTTCTCTTCCTGGCCTCCAATCGATTTGGAATTTTTGCATATTCATTATCTCTCTTGCTTTTTGGATTCTTGATAGATTCATTTTGCCTTGAGTTTCTTTAGATTTTAATGAATTCTAAATTGCTTTTTCGAAGTTTCATTAAGATAAGATTTGATAGGCTTTTCAAGTTGGAAAATGGATTTTTCTACGCTTATGATTTGATCAAGCTTAAGAGAAACGATGAGAGGATATGCAAGAAAGGGTCAATCGCCTTTTGGATTTGAGGGGTGAGAAAGATTGAGGAAGGAGGTGTTTGTTTGTGCTTTTACTTGCAGTTAGCCCCTACAGTTAAGTTGGCGCCATATCAGCGTCTTTAATTGGATGAGTGGGCCTAAATTGTCATATTTGGAAATCTGGTTGTCCACATGGGCAAGAGACAATTGATTGATCAATTTTTTTATGATTCAGACACTTGATTACAAACGTTTTTCGTTCAGACACCAAAATAGAAAATTTTAAGAAGTTTAGACACCAAATTTATAATTAACCCTTTTCCAAATTACCATGTTCTAAATCTTCCGATGATTGCCTCAAACCACTCCCCCCGACTTTTGAAATCTACAACAGTTGTTTTAAACTCTAGCTCCCATCATTTTCGGTTCAAAAATCAATGGCTTGGCTAACCAGATTGTACTGCTGTAGGGGAACGTTTTTGGTGTTTATATACTGATCTTTCAGTCGTGGAAAAAAATTAGCAAGTGTGGTAAGGCGCTTGCCGAATGAGGTGGAGGCTTTTTTAAAGCGAAACGTTTGCAAGTGGTAAAGTTGAAAAGAAGAGTGGATTCCCTTCGAAAAAAGGACCTGATTTCCCTAGCTCAATACAATGAAGTTTTTGCCCTTTATGAGAAAAGCCTTGAGGAGATGGAATCGTATTGGAAACAACGTTTAAAGCAGTTTTGGTTACAGGGAGGGGATGTTGGCTCAAGGGTCAAATTCTAATCTCGGAGTTTCGATGATTAAAACAAAACACATAAATTTAAATTATATTATTTGTGCTAATATTATTTTATGCAAAATTCTTATGGAAAGAAAAACAAATAAGGCAAGTCCTACATTGTGTGTGAAGATATCCGAAGACCCTAGTTTATGCAAAATTCTTATGGAAAGAAAAACAAATAGGCAAAGTCTACACTTGTGTGTGAAGATATCCGAAGACCCCTAGTGGTTAAGGACATTTAGGATAACTTTGTAAGAATAAAGAGAATTCATCTATAAGCCACAAAACAAATTCTTTTTCTCTCATCAAAAATATTTTTCGGAAATTAGATTCTTTCAAAAATAAATTCGTTTATCAAAAATTCATTTCGGAAATACCTTTAAAAAATCAAAACTGATTTAATTTACCTAAAATTAGAGAGATTATGGTCTCTAACGATTTTGGTAAGTAAATCAACACTTTCTTTGAAATTCCCTTTGAAGATCTAAAGAATTTTTAATTTATTCTCTTACCTAAAATGAAGGAAGATTGTATCTTTTCGTTTTTAGTAAGAAGTATCTTTTCGAAAAATATTTTCCAAATAAAATGCGTTCGAAAATCTTTTGATTAAAGGAAAGAAAGATCGTCTTTTATTCTTCTTACCAAAAGGATAAAATGAATTTTTGGTAACCAAGATTTTCGTATCTTCTAAGTAAGGAAAGCAAATGAAATATCCACTTTCCAAAATCGAGAGTCACAAATCTCTCTATAAAAAGGAGCTTTCACGTTTTGAGCTAGTGGAAGAAAGAGT